CGCCGACGGGCCTTCCTAGCCTGCTCCTCCTTCTGCCTGGCCTGCGCCTCGATGGCATCTGCCGTGGCCGGCGTGCCCACCAGCGTGAGGCCCTCCCGCAGCACCGTGTCCACCGCGATGCGCGCGTAGCCCTCCTGTGAGAGGCCTTCGCTGCAAAACACCGTGCCAATCCTCTGCCCGCCCCTCCTACGCGCGAGGTGGTGCTGCGCTCGTTCCCGCAGCCTCTGGTGCTCGGGGCTCAAGCTTGTGCACGGGCGCTCGCGCACCTCTGAGTGGCCCCATCGTCGAGCGAGGCAGGCGAAAAAACACCCTTCTCCTATCTGAAGGTGTTGCAACAGTTCCCCCCCCTGCTACCCTCCGTCCTCGCGGAAAGCGAAGGCTGAGGAGCGATGAGGTGGGCAAAATCAATCCAATCGGATGTGCGTCGGATCGGGTTCAATCGGCACGAACTCGAAATCGAAGCGGACCAGCTGCGCCAGGATGCACATCGACGCCATGCAAGGCACGGGCCGCATCGGACCGTCAGATTATCGGAGTCGAACCAGAGCGAGCCAGCCGGCCAGACTCGATGTCTGAGCGGATCGATCGGCTTGAAATTGGCCCTGGAAGGGGGTGGAGCATTGGTGGGCTGGCTGTTGCGGCGAGGGCGCATCCTCGCCCCACCCCTTGCCCCAGGAGTTGGCCACGAGCCAGTACTTCTTCCCCTCGGACTTGCCCCAGCCGATCACCGTCACCGCCTGCTGTAGAGGCTGCCCGTCGGCGCCGTACTGCTGGATGGACGCGTCCGTCGGCGAGTAGACCCCGCTGGAGTAGACCAGGAAGTCGTCCTTCACGTACACCAAGGCCACGACCGGGCCCCAGTTGAAGACCTCCCGCCGGATGTTCTTCTCGCCGCCCATCGCGCAGTGCCCGAGGGACTTCAGCTTCTGGTCCTGTGGGCCTCTCGTCACGACTGCCAGTCCGAGCCCCCCCCCCTCCTCCTCCCTCTCCCCCTGCGGGGAGGGGTGAGGAGGAGGGGGCGAGGTAGCGGAGAAGGCTGGGACTGGACTGGTGTGCGTCGTTCGTGAGAGCCTCTTCGGTCCTCCTTACAGTCAGACTTGCACGCAGCCTCCTTCGCGCCCGCGAAGGGCACGCAACTCTCGGGGTAGAGGCCTCTGCGGGCGATGTAGGCCCAGACCCGGTCAGCGCCACCGCCCTGGCAGCCCCTGCTCTTCTTGTCGCACGAGACGACCTGCTGAGGCGACAGGCGCAGCGCCTTGTACTGGACCGGGTCCGACGCGCAGAACCGGTACGACAGGCTCGTGGCAGCCGCGATGGCGTAGCTGGAGGAGCAGTTGCCCTGGTCGTACACGGAGTCGTGAGCGCAAGAGGGCTGCGCCTGCCGGAAGTCGTAGCTGGCGGGGATGGCGCCGCCCTCCGTGTCCGACTTGTCGGCGCAGGTCTGCAGTGCGCCAGCCATCCCGATCATGGCGGCGCCAACCACGTCCACACCGTCCATACCTGAAGGAGCCCAGGGACGCACACATAAATTGACACAGATCCCAGGATGCCCCACATTTTGCCCCATTCTCTTGATTTTCGTCTTGCCCCCTACTTCACAATGTTCCCCTTCTTTTCCGGAGAGTCGACGATTATAGTTGTGTCTGTGTATTTTTCGCTCCCGAATGCCGTAGCTCAGATCCGCATACGACCAGCGGTCGAAGAACGGGCTGGCCTTCGCGGTGAAGTTGGCCGCCGCGTCCGAAGACACCCGCTCCACGAAGTAGGCGTCGTTCACCTTCGCGGAGCCCCTCGAGGCCGAGGCCCGCGGCCCGCCGGCACCCTCGCCCGCGAGGGCCAGGTAGACCGCCAGGACCAGCACCGTGACGCACCCGCCCGCCGCCAGGTAGTACTTGAGCTCCCCCTTCTTCCCCTTCCTCCCCCGCCTCGCCGCCGCCGCCTCGGCCGCCCCTGGGGGGCGGCCTCGTCCGCCTCCCCCGCCTCGCCTCCCCCGCCTCGCCGCCTCGTCGTCGCCGCCGCCGCCTCGGCCGCCGCCCCGCCTCGCCGCCGCCGCCTCGGCCGCCCCGGCCTTCCCGCTCTTGCCGGCCATGGGGGCTGCGCACGCGGCGCCCGCGGCGGGCGGGAGACCCTCGCCGCGGGCACCGGGTCCTGGGCCCCGGGGCCTGCCCCCCGGACGGGCGCCCCTGCCCGAGCCGTGTGTTTTTTTTTTTTGCGGTGGAAAGTCCCCCGGGTCCCCCGTGGAGGGCCCCTGGGAGCCTGGCGATCCTGCGCGGCACCCGGGGCCCGACACGTGAACACCCTCGAGTTGGGGTGCTTTCTTGGTGCTCGAAAGTCTTCCTGGTGGTGAGGGCGAAGGCCGGTTGGAGCATCATGAAGCGAGGCGCGCCTCGGGCGTTGCATCATTGGGGGGCGACCACCGGCGGGGGCGAAGAAACGAAGGCCGGCGAAAAGTGGGAAGCGCACAGCGGGCCGACTGCCCCCACCTTTGGGGGTCTTCTCGCGCTTCCCAGAGGTCGGAATTATGTAAAGCACACCGCCGGACGACTGCCACGAAGCGTGCGTCATTCATCGGGGAGAAAGCATTTTTCTGGTTCGGTATATTTCGGGAGAAGAAGGAGGGGCAAGCAGGAGGGGACCACCGTCACAGCTCTCGAGTCACCCGTGCAGTCCGTAGCGGCACGCGGCAGATATTGACCAGCGGCTTCGTTTACAACAACATCCCATAACCAGAACCAGAACGCATGCCATAACCAGGAAGTTTACGGGGTCCGCGCGGACTTCTTGGGTCGGCGCTGGGGCCCCCCGGCGGCGCCTCCGTCACCGCCCCTTAACAGGGGATGCGTCGACCCCTATCCCAGGCTTCGTGAGGTTTCCGAATGGACCAGAAATTTGGGGCCCAACATTGGGATATACGAGGGGGGGGCGTCCATCCTCGACAGGGGTGCGTCCGAATAGCCCCCTCGGGATGTATCCCAAGATTCCTCCCCTTTTCTGAGCGACCAAACTTTTCTGGCGGAAGTCGGGGATTGGGGGAGAGAAATCGCCTAAGACCCCTGGCGCCCCCCCTGAGGGGGGTCCCGCTACGATCCAAGAAATCATCGTTCATGTTTGTGTCATTTTCCGTCCTCTATCGGAAGCTGGGCGAGGGCTGCTAACACCGTGGCTGCTAAAACGGCCCTCCCGGAAGGAAAGAACATCTTCCCGGAAGGAGGCGCGGCGCGCGAAACAGTCAACGGGCTTCTTCCTGAAGGACGAAGACAACTTCCTGGAGGTCGATTTTAGCAGCCACGGGTTTAGCAGCCCTTGCCCGGCTTCCGTCCTCCATTTGATTGCCCCCCACTACGATACGCCCGAGCGACTGGAGCTGGGTCAATGTGGCCGGCCTCGAAAACCCCTGAGCGCCCCGGCGTTGACCTCTCCTGGGGGGGGGGGGGGGCCTTTTACGTCCTGGGGGTTTCCGCCGGCCAGGAAAAGATGCCTCTTATTTCTGCCTGCCTCCGCCGAGGGCGAGATGTCAATCCCTCGATTCCTCGAAGACGAAGCATTCATTGTCCAGAAGCCCAGGGGGGTCACCACTAGGCGGTGGCCACCTCCCCGAGGAGAAGGACTCTTCAGAACCCCCTCCAAACACCCAGAGCCTCCCAATGCGCACAACTCACCGACCCTCGAACCCCGATCCTGGGGAGGAGCCTGCGACCCCCCGATGGTGGTGAACCCCCCTTAGGATTGCCTGATTTCGGCATGAAGCGGGTCCTCATGGGCATGGGCCCTGGATGCTGGGGGCTTTCCCCAAGATGAGCTCTTACCCTATATCCTTTTTGACTGACCCGGGGCCTGCGAACGGCTTGGATAGACGCGGAAACGGCGCGAAATCTCGAAGAGCCGTCTTTCTCAGGACCCTCTATCTCGGGGGCTGCTAAAGGGAAAGCCCGGGGGTAACTTGGGCCAGGGGTCCTTCTGGCAACACTCGACATTCCTTCACGGCGATCATCTGCGAGGCGGGGATTTATCCATATCCACCGCCTGGGAACCGACGTCCTGGTGCCCTAGCGGGCGGTGGATATGGATACATTCCCCTGGGGGCCCGAACATGTCCATATCCACCGCCTGCCGAGGCTCCGAAGACTGGCCCTCCAGGCGGTGGTCATGCATAGATTCCCACCTCGGATCATCGTTGCCCCCGCCGTCGTTTCGTCGCTTCGCTTCCTCGCGTCCCCCTTGGTGTCCGTTCCATGAGAGCCTGCGTGGCCTCCTGCACTGTCCAATTTGGGCCTGATTTGGACCGGATTTGGAACAAATTTGGACCGGATTTGGACCAGACCTGGACTGGATTCGTGCGGGCTGCGTAGGAGAACGAGGAGGGGGAGGGGGAACAGGAGGGGAGAGGAGGAGCAGGAGGATGGGCCAAATGCGGTCCCCACGCTGTCCACATGCAGGAAAAGCTGATGTCAATGTCGCCGCCCAAGGCTCCCTCTGAACGGACATCGAAGTCCCCCCCCCTCCGTGGCAGGCTCTGCGGCTGGCCGCCCCCCAAAAGAGGAGCCCTGGGGCGGCCGCGACCCGCGCACGGGGCGGCGGGCGGCCCGGCCGGGCGCAGCGAGGGCCTCTCCGCACGAGGCCGGCCACGCGCAAGAGTGGCCCCGGGCAGGGGGCGGCACGTGGCGCGCCGCTCTCGGAGGGCAGCAGAAAGCGGCACAACCACGCGCTTCTGGAGATCCGCGCGGACAGCCCGAAAATTTACGTTTACGTCGCGTGTCTTCTTCTTCTTCTTCTTCTTCTTCTTCTTCTTCTCCTTCTCCTTCTCCTTCTTCTTTACTTTCGGGGGCCACGGGGAGGCCCCACCCGGGCGCGCAAGACGCAGTTGCCGCATCGCGTGCAGTCATCCGGGGGCCCGCAAACATGGATTGGCGATCCATGGATTTGGCGCGCGGTCGCCAAATCCACGGATCGGGGGAGGTGCCCTCCCCAGACTGCGGCCGGTGTCGCCTCGCTCGGCGGCGGAAGTCCGCGATGCCCCATGGAAACGGGACCCGTCGCTAATCCGCGCCCCCTTTGACCCGTGTTTGCGATCGCCCGAAGAGCGCCTGCACCCTCCACTCGGCGCAGGGCCACTCGCACGTGCAGCCGAGCGAGGGAGAGCCCTGCGGCGGGAGGCCTGCGCAGTCTCTCGGGCCGAAGCGGCCTCGCGTGCCGGGCCAGTGGAGGGAGGCGGCCGCGGGGGAGGTGGCGCGGCCCTGGCCAGCCGGGGGTCCCCCATCCTCCTCCTCCTCCTCCTCCTCCTCCTCCTCCTCCTCCTCCTCCTCCTCCTCCTGCTTTTCCTCCCCCTCCTCCTCCTCCTCCAATTCCTCCTCGTTTTGGTTTCCCACTTCCTTCTCCTCCTCCTCCTCCTCTTCCTCCTCCTCCTCCCACCCCGCTTCTCTTTCTCCACCTCCTTCTCCCCCTCCCTTTCCTCTTCCTCCTCCTCCCTTTCCTCCTTCTCTCTCAGCCTCATCTTCACCTCTCCCTCGTCCTTCATCTGCTGTTCGTGCCCCTCCTGGACCTTACCCTGCTCCTCGCGAATGGCCGGTGCCTCCTCCCGCTCCTCCGTCCTCGCCCTCCTGCTCCTCCATTGTACGAGCGCACCACTTTGGCAGTACTTGGCCAACTCTCGCGCAGATCCTCCGCGCGAGATCGGGCGCGGAATCGAGCCGAGAAAAGGGTAATTTTACTATGTGGGTATATGTTTGAATATTTTCATTTGTTGCCCCAAATCCGCCTGTAGGGGGACATGCCCGACCTAATCCTGGATGGTGTGGGAGTAGGCGTGGTCGAAAGATCGCGCCGCATCGTCGAGGCATCGCCGATGCGGCTCAAGCGGCCGATTCTGTCGGCAAAAACAAGAGAAGGCCCGACAGCATGTTTCAATACTATGTCGCAGCCATGGAACACGTGTGCGGGATGCGGCACGCACGCGTTCAGCTCGAAGGCGTACGCCAACAAATCAAAGTGGCGCACATGTCATCGCTCAGTCAATTTCTTCGCCCCGAAAGGTCAGGGTGAGAAGCGCAGGAGCGGCAAAGTCTACGAGGGTGACAAGAAGGAGGTTGATCTGGAGCAGGTGCAGAGCGGAGGCGACACTTCGTCAGCTCCAGCAGACGCAAGCTAGGCGGTCGTCGCGCTCTCGGGGGGCACTCGCAACGGCGCGGGACCCGATGGCCGCGACGCTGCTCGACCCAGCGGGACGAGCCGCTGGCGCAGACCCAGCGGGCGGAGGCGGCGACTGCAAAGCCGCTGGCGGCCGAGGAGGCGGTGCGCCGCGCAGCAGGCGCGCGGCGCGACGCCAGGCGAAGCACCAGCAGGCGGCGGCGCAGGTGCAGAGGCTCAAAGTCAACCTTGGCAACGCCCGCGAGAAGGAGGCCGAGGCCACTCGGGCACTGGCGCAAGCTGAGTGAAGCCGCAAGTCGGCAGCGCAGACGTTGACCAAGGAGACGGGGGCAACCGCGGTCGAGATCAACGGAATAGCTGCTACATTCGGGCTGCTGAAATAAGGAACGCTAGATAAGGAACGAAGCCCCTCGTGGCTTCAAACAAGCATGGGTGCACGAGAAGGGCTCGAGGAACAGCCACGGAAGGACGTAAGGAACATCGAGCCCCTTCCGAATCCAAACTGCTCCTTATTTCAGCGTCTTGGCTGTAGTTTGGCGTCTAGAGAGACGCCCGAGATCAACCTGGCGCGGGACGCGCTCTTCAAAGAAGTCGGAAACATAGATTGCAGTCCTGAGGAGAAAGGTGAGCTGAGGTACATCGAAAAGCGGATGGGCGGCTTGGGCGAGTCGGTGAACACGAAGGCCGAGGAAGTAGCCGAGTGGGGAGCCGATGCGCCGTCTTGGGGAAGCGCGCGCAGGAGCGCCGGGGCGAGAAACGCAACATTCGACGGCCAGGCGAACCAGGGCAGTGGAGGGGGCGGCGCGGCCAGCGACGCAGAAGCAGCTGACGCCATCGTCGAGCCAGCCGCAGCAGGAGCCGAGACTGGCAACGTCGGTGGTGGAGCGCAAACTGCACCTCCTGCCCTGGGCGCCCAGCCGACATCGCGCATCGCTGAGGGGCGTGCTGCGGAGGAGATGGAGATGATTCGCGCAGCTACGGCGGCGGGCGCGGCGCCGGCGGCAGCGGCGCAGCCAGTGCCTAAGTGACACCATCGAGGGGGCGATGTCGTTTACGCGGCGGCGCCATCATCCACGCCATCGGAATCGCAGGGCGCGGGCTCCGACCAGGCGCGAAACAGTCCGCCACCAGCAGCAGGGGGCCACAAAGAGCTTCAGCAAACTCAATATCCACCTGTTGTACGTGCGTTCTTCAGTGACATCGAACGCTTGGGACCGAATTCGTCGGGCTTCATCATCGGGCTTCATCGGCGGCGCCTCTCTGGGCGGATGGATCCGACGCGCTGGACGGGTTCGGGTTCACGCCTTCAGAGGCCCACCTCCAAGCTTATTCCACGCTGGTGATTCTTTTTTCGCG